GGGGATAGGAAGCAAAAATTAGTGAAGGGAAAATCCTACTGAAAGCCCGCAAAGCATTTTCAAGCATGCAGAAATGACCTGCTCTGTTCCTGTTACACAGAAGTGTTAAAATGAGAGCAGGTGACCCCTCTACCCCAAATCATTCATCTGTTATGTCTGTGATGTATTTAGGCTGAATCCTTTCCCAGATGCTTTGGATCTGTCAGTTCCAGTGGAAATTAATGGGATTTTACCATTTGCTTTGAGGAAAGGAGGACTGGACTCTCTCTTGCTGTCTTTGGCAGGAAGGAGCAAAGAGCTTTCCTGTCTGCTGATTTTAAATATTGCATCTTTTTAAGCCTTTTTGCCAGATAGTCTAATTTGTGTTACTGCAATATACCACGCTAGAAAATTATAGAGGTTAATGTAATGTACAGCACTGTGATACACAACTATAATGGTAGACTCTAATGTTTTTTAAATGATAAACCAAAGGAATTCATAATACGGGTTGCACCAAATTGCTTGTAATTCTTGCCAAAGATTAGTTTAGCATTGCTTTTAATATTTTATGCACTAAAGTTGTTTGCAAAGACTAAAAGCTTCTCTCACTTTACACACTAGTACTTTGTACTTTCACAGTACAGAGCATAACGAGAGCACTCTCTTTGAGAGTAATTGTATGGCAAGAAGTTCTGATAAATTCCAGTTTTACTGTCTTTGAAAGATTTTTCTAGTGATCAGTGAAAACTGTTTCAGATTTATGGTGTCGTAACTGGCTTGGGTAGTTAGAAATCTTAACCTTTGATAATATCACTGGTTGCATATTAATATTTTTAAGTATCTAAAACACACATGAATGACATAGTAGGTTTTGACTTTGAATGTTACCTTAGAGATTTGACTGCACATAATCCCATTAAAACAGAAGAGTACAAGATAAAATGATCCATTTGCAATTATAATTATGCATATCGAGATTGACCATGCCTTAAGAAATTGCAAGATGGGGAAGGTTGCTTGAGCAATCATATGTTGAAAGCATTGATGGAAGAATAAAGAAGGATCGATTTGTCAGTAATGTGCACAAAAAGTATAGGAAGCATTTATTTGGAAGGTGGAAGGGAGTACATGCTGAGAGATGGGCAAAAGCTGGTGCTCCATCTCCCTTGCATCTTAGGTCAGGATGATCTAAGCTTGTAGCATCCAGTGGGACTACATTTTCTACATCTCTGAAGTGTGCCTGTCAAAACCATATGTTGAAAACCACAGAGATGTCCTCCATCAGATGGTACCCATAGTCATATTAGTAGGTGACAGCTTTGGTTTGTCACAAAGCAGGCACTTGTCCACCTTTGTCACACTGTGAATTTTTATCTGGTTACATTGTGGGATAGTCATGTTCTAGGGATGTATAGACAATTCTTGTTCTGAAAAAGCATGATTTCAGATGGAGCATATACCAAGAAAAAGGCATGGGGCAGTCAGTACAGGCTGTTTTTTTGCAGCTGATCTCTGCTTAGGTCCAAGAGGATATTGCAGGGGGAAGAGAGTCTGGGAGACGGAAAATGTTCTTTTGTATAGACTTAGCATTTTAGCAAAGCAAGGAGCTCTTTTGACCATCTTACATTTGTGAAATCCACTTAGATCTTATTTTTTTCTGTCATGGTTAGTTTTTCCAACACAGAATGTTGGAACGCTATGATTCACTTGGTCTGCTTTTGACGCTTGACGAATAAAATGTATTAGTTGGTTGACTTAGTACTGGAGAGTCAGCATGAACAGGGCTGTGGCTGAACAGTTGAGGGCATGGTTTTGTTCCAGCTCCTCCAGTGGCTCTTTGACCTTGAACAACTGCTTTTTCTTTCTGCTGTTCCTTGATTGCCTTGTCTTCTCGGAGGATGAGTTCTCCAGGAGGGAGATTTCTTTGCACTGTGTTCTGCAAACAATGGAGTCTGAGCCTACCTACTGCCTCTAGGGGCTTCTCTAACACAAATTATAATTGTTAGCTTTAATCACTTTCATCAAAAAAGCCTGATAATGGAGGATGGCAGTGTGCAGGATTTAGAAGGATCTGTAAGTTGTGTGTTAATTAAGCCACTATAGGTGAAAGTTTCTGATTTTGTTTCATAGGACTGATGCAAGATGTTGGTGGACTGATGCCGTGCTGCTCCACATGGGATTTCCATCTCCCAAAGCACCATGCTGGCTGCTTGCTCTTGCACTTGAAATGAGGCAGAAATGGGGTGTTTGGTACTACTTCCCCAGCTTCCTGTCAGATGTCTAAACCTTGGTGTGGCTTTCTGCAGGTCCCTGTGCCATTAGAGTTAATGGCTGCCTGGGCATTTGGCTTTGCAGCAATACAGCAGCTCAAGGGTGAGCCATCCCCTCTCGATGGATTCTCTTCCCAGCCGTTGCTGTAGCTGAACAGACAGTGTTTATCGTTGCTCTCCCTAATAGCAGCTTCTGTTTTGGCACGGAGGTTGAGCAGCGCGCTGGCTTGCAGATTAATTGCCCTTCTTTTGGCATCTAGTGAGGCTGAGCGCACACCGCCCATGGCCTGTGCGGGCGGATGCGTCACTCGGTGCTGGTGGTTTCAGGGTGAATCAGGTTAGCAAAGTGGTGTGGAGCACAGTGGAAGAAAACTAAAGCGATCTCCTGTTGCGTAGGGGACAGGTGCTGCGAGACGGTGAACTTTAATAGGGAGTCACAAATGAAGCTACACCTCCCTTAATACATTTATTCTATGTTTTAGGACATCAGCTAACTAAATTCCTGTAGTTCCTGCTGTGCACCTACTGCTAGTCAGTTCTGTCTCTCTAGCAAGTATTTTGCAAAATCTTTGCTGTGCTGAAATCCATATATTATTCCCTTCTGTGATTAAAATAAGAGCAAGAATTCCCCAAATTACATTTGAAATCTGCATAAAAATAGCATATGGCAGAGGCCAATTCAAGGTTATACATTTGGCATTTGGGGAGGGAAACCAAGAAAGATTTACCAGCCAGTATGCTCACATTATGATAAAATAATGGTAAGCTGGGAGGAGAGCATGTACTGCATCCTTAAAATGGCACAGTAGAGCCATAAACCACTATAAGTTGTGCTATCTCTAGCCCTTTATGCTCCAAGCAGAAGTTAAATCCAGGGTCTCATAAATGAAACAAAGATCTCATCTTAATTTCATTTAAAAAGCTGTTGCAAGGTAATGGGTAACAAACATTAACTTTGTCAGCCTAGGGAAACCACCATTTCTGCTCCATACTGCTGCCATCAATTTGGTTATTTTCCAAAAGCTTCTCAGAGTAAGGTGGAGTTTTTGCTATAAAATACAAGCAGAATAGTCCAAACAAATGGGACTTTTCCTCGAAGTAAAGCATATGAATGCCCTCACGAGGTGTTGCCTGGTCTGCTCTACACTTCTGAAACTGTTGTGTTTTTTTTTACTGTAACTGTGTATATTTGATCAAAATCCAAGGCTGCAAACAGCTAACATCTGGGGAGTTTTTCATTTGTACAATGAGAAATAATAGCCAGTCCTACCCTGAGTTTGTCTGTAAATTTCTTAGATGGCACAAAACCTGTTTATTGCTTACAGAGGCAGTTTTGCTGACAGATGGACCTGGAAAAGGTCTCTTTCTTTCTTCCAGAGCATCCATTCGTGCCTATTATAGAGAAATCATTCAGAAAGTGGCATGTGTGCTGGACTCTCAGGCCTTGTTTTAAGTTTTAATTTACTTGTCTGAATTCCAGGGTTACTGAAAGCAAGTGATTGCTCCTTTAGTACGTAAATAAGATTAATTATGCACTGGGGACTGGTGCCTCAGCAGTACGAGCTCCTTCTCTTTCCTGCTCCCACAGGACTATCTCTCAAAGTATGTATACTACTGGGGTGAAAAGCAATTCTCTTTGGGGCATTGAAGATTAAAGCAGGACCATTCTGGGTCAGCTGTGTTAAAACCAGAGCCTTTGGGCTGCTTTTTTGGCCTACAGATTTCTTAGGCTATGGGCTGGCCTGGCTGTGGTGTAGGGACGACAGCAAGGGAAGGAGCAGGGGGAGAGCTGTCCCAGTAAGGAAAGTCTCAGGGACCAGCTGCTATTCATGAATCCTTGGGAACAACTGGACTCAACGCTGGATCCTTTTGTATATGGGCTCTGCAAATGTTGACCTTCTTGCCATTTTAATATGCTTCTTCCAAATTATATAACTTTTCTTGGAAACAAACAGGACAGGAGAAGTCATTGCTGTTTCACTTCCATGGATTTTTTATGTTTTAATTGCTTAAATGGAACTGGGTGGCATCCCAGGGTCCTATGCCATCCAGCTTGACTCTGGCAAAACCAAAGTTTCATATGTGGTAACCCCAGCTATGAAGGAGCAGTGTTTAATGTGTAAATAGTTGCACTAAACCCAGTGCCTACAGGAGGCTGACCTGGATCCATGCATTTCATGCTTTTATCAATTAATGTTACAGTTAGGGTGAAGCACTACACTTAGAAGAAAATACTGAAAACATAAGGGGATGAAGTTTATCATATAACTGCTGAAAAACAGCGATCCTTACAGTTATTATTTATGTTCTTTTCAAACCAGATATTTCAAGTGCAACAGCCATCTAAACTATCTAAAATATATGATAAATCCTCAAGCGTAACAGTAGTTTATCAAGATCACATTGGAGTCTGTTATAGCGAAGAAATGCTCGTATATGTGCATCTGTATTTGCTTGCTACCTGTATATCTCTTTTTTTTTTTTTAAGTGGTTGGCAAGGGTAGCCTTTGGTAGTTGCATGCTATTATTGTTTTCATATTCAGAGATATGCTGCATAGAGATTAAAAAAAAATGTACACAGGCTTTCAAAAAGCAAATCTGTTGTCCAAAAACATTTGTTCATTGCTTCATCCTCTACTACAGAGGAAGTTTATAAATTTCTGTACAGCAAAAAGTTCATGAGTGCCTAATAAATCCTCAGGGGCAAGTATAAATGTTTTTTTAATTATTTTTTCTCTTTGTTTCCAGAAATGCTGAATTCAGTACTCTGCAAAAATAGCGTATGGATTTTCAGCACCTGAAGAACAAGAAAAGGTAATTACTTCATCTTATGCTCTACTACTATTTGTTAGCCATGCTAAAATATTAAACCACTCAATCATGTCACTGCAGTACTGTCTCTGTATGTGGATTGTGTATATTTTCAGTTACACACTCACAGTTTCCTGAGAATATTCTTTTATAGGAAGGGAACAGGGAGACAAAAGCAGGAAAACATAAAATATTGAAGTAAAATGATACAGAATGGTACACTGTGAAATTTTTCAGCATGTGTACATGTTAAGCAATTCTAAGAGGGGAGGAGAATGAAGGTTTAGGTGTGCTAATGGAAAATGCTTAGGAACTCTCCGCATTTGCAAGCTTGCCTCAGACAGCCTTATAGCACAGCAGGCAAGCATGGCAGGAGGCACAGCATTCATCACTGCAGCAGTGAGATGTTCTGGTGACCAAGTCACCTGTGGGGTGATGTATCCTATACTGGAGGTTGTAGACCTGCTGCCACCTGTGAGCCCACCTCCTACAGCCAAGGGCCCTGATCCTCTTGGGTCGTGACATTTTGCTTGAGCACTGAAGCTCAACAGGGCTGTTGCTCTGTTGCCAGTGTTAAACAAAATGCTATTCATCAAACTTTCATGAGCCACTTTACCGGGGCTGCATCTTGAAAGACGAGGCTCTGGAAAGCAGCGACGAAAGCAATACTGCTTTGTGTTGCTACCATCTCATGTATTTTGTTTCATCTTTTTTCCAAGGCTGAGAAACAAGCGTGTCTGCAGGACCTTGTGTGCTTTTGCACTTTGCTCCTTTCCAGAGACAAATGACATACAAGTTGAACAAGGAGGGCATGGCCGTGTTGTAGAATTGTAGTCATGTTACAGCTGGTACATCCTTCCAGCTGTACAGCTGTAGTAATTTCAGTGTGAGATGTGTACGCATAGATGCCACAGCATGGAGAACAAAGGAAGTATGTAGCATGAAGATCTAAAATTCTGAGTATTAAAAAGCTAGCATGCAGAGATGCAGCGACACAAAGGTGAAGTGACATGGAGAGCACAAGCAAGGAATGTTGGGGGATCAGGAAAGTTTATGCATGAACTGCTACCATGTTCTTAGAAGACACAACATCGTTTTGGGTTGAAAAATGCATGTGAGTGACATCTTGTGTTCACTTTGCAATACTTTGCTGCCAGTAATTAGAGTGATCATTTTAGAGGCAGCAGTAAACAAAGAGGGAAAACACAAATCAGAGAAGTTGATAGATGCCATCTTCTTCATGTATCAGGCTTTGGAAGCCTGTCTTCCTTCCCAACAAATGGAAATGCTGTCAGTTCTCAGGAAGTGTGTAGGAACACAATTAAAGGGCCTAGAATCATAGAATTATTAAGGTTGGAAAAAATCACTAAGATCATCTACTCCAACCATCAGCCCATCACCACCATGCCCAGTAAAACACATCAATAAGTGCCATATGTACCCTTTTCTTAAAAGGCTTGAGGGTAAATGTTGTGAACTAAAGCCCACTTCTTGCTCTCATTCTTGCCTATCTTCTGTGGTGGACTCTGTGTGCATAAGTTTAGTTTAATACAAAATTATAACAGGAGAGAAAAAACAGGAGACTGAAGGAGAAGCTCTAGGATTAAATAAACCTTTGATTAAAATACACTAAGATTTTATAAACCATGCTCCCCTGGTGTATTGTCATCATAGTGTTTTGAATTCCCTTCTACATGATGATAAATGCGACTCTTTTTGTTGGATACTTCCACTGGGATTTACAGTCTCATGTAATGCTCTGTAATATGTTGTGTTACCATTGCCAGCTTGATTGTCTGTCCTGGGACCGTTATGTGTGGGCATTTAATGTGTGTGGAAACTGTAGGATAAATGTAATGGGGGCTCAAACAATTCATTGCTCTAACCATAACATTATTTTATCCATGTCAAAAACAAATTCAAAAATGCAATTTCTTTAAAATCATTAATTTCAAAAAGGAAGTAATAAGATTTTTTAAAATTTTTTACATTTTGCTGCCTAGGTATCCTGCAGATTACAGCAAAATGCTGTGTGTTGGCAAAGAGAAGGACTGTGCCGCACTGTGCAGTTCACTGTTACTCTGATTGCTTGGTTTTCTTCCACAAAAAAAGTGTAAGATTAGACTCCAAGTTATTTGAGCAATTTTAAATCTCAGCAAATCCAATCCTCAGTGTTTATTTTTGCTTTTGGTGCAATTTTAAGGAGAATTCTGAGAAATCTGAATTTCTCAAGCAAGAAAGAAACTAAATATACTCCCAGATTCATCATGGCTAAGTGCTTTCCAAGGACTTGGAATGAAACTCCCTGTACTTCAATTCCGCGTGGCTCAAACACGGGAATTATTCCCAGAGGGTTTCTTAAGAGCTATAGACATTGTTTTAACGTCTAAACATAAGCAATATCATAAGTAGGTAAGGCTATGTACGTTGCAAAGTAATGGCCGCTTACATTGTTATGTTTGATCAAGGTGTTATTTTTATCAACCACTTGTGTTCTCTGTGGTCAGGTGGCCACACACAGTTTCTTTCAGCCTGCAAAAGGGATCCCACAGAGCCATTTAGCTCTGTCATCTGAATGAGCAGGCAGCTGTGAGCTCCGTGATTCTTCCAGACATGGTTCAGCAGTGTCCTTCCATCTGGTGCAGTGTGTTGCAGTGGCCAGGCAGATACTTGTCAGATGCTTGTGCTGTTTTCATTATATTGAATAGATACCAGCTTCTCTGTGTGTGCTATACTTTGGAAAAGGTGTTGCCCCATAGTCTGGGAGAGGTGACATCTATGTGGGTATCCATCCTTGTGGAATAGGAGTTGGGGATTTTTTGCTGGCAAGGATGGATTTTGCACTGTGTGAGGGTCTGCCATCATCTTGTCTCAGCTGTTAGAGTCAGCCTGAACTTTTAGAAATTGAGAGTTTATTTTCATTCTCTGCATACCCAGGCCAAAGTAAGAGATCCCAAGGCTCAAGGGCATCCGTAGCACTCTTTTCTTTTGTACTCGGTGCCTTTTTCTCTTTTTTAAATGGCTGGCCATGACATTAAGATTTCTAATTAATTTAGAAACCACAGGCAGTTGAAGAGAGTGAGCAATGTAATAACTGGGCCATGGGGCAGAGTAAAAGCACATCAATTATTCAGGCAGTCACTGCTGCTTATTCCCTTCCCGGAGCTGTGCTGGCTGTCAGTGTGTGTCAGCTATGCTGCTAATGCCCTTCAGAATTTACATGCATAAACAGTGGCCTTTTAAAATCTGTGTGAGGATAACTTCAGCCTTTTGAATGATGGCTGCCAGCACAGCAAGGAAAGTGTGCTCTGTCTGGCAAGTGCTCAGGGCCCCGTCCGGTATTTTGGGTGCCTTGTTAAGAATGGGGATCTTGGCAGTGCATCTGCCGGAAGCCTTTGGGGCAGAGTTGTTCCTCAGAAAGGTGAGGGGCAGTATGAGCCATGGGAAGAAAGAAACAGTCTTGGTTTAAAATGCAGATCATGGCTGAGAGCCCTCTCTCTGAGCCAGAGAAGAGAAACATCTCTAACATATCTTTCTTTCCTGCTATTTCTGTGAAATCCCCATGCAAAGATGTCCCAGGTGGCTCTTGGGCTGGATGGACCCAGTGTACTTGCACTGTGTGTACAAATCTCAGAAAGCAAAGAAGCCTCCTAGCCGAAGGTGGTCCTTCCTCCACCTCCTCTTCCTCACTGTCATGGCTATTTCACATTCAGAGCTTTAACTTAGTGGCTTGAAAATAAGGACTAGGGGCTCCATTGGATTTTCTGCTGTGGGCTCCAGGCAGAGCAAGCACAAAGCCTTGTTTTGCTGGCTAGCCTGTCTGTGCCTGCTGCTCGAGGCATCCACCTTGCTTTCTAGAAAGTGAACTGATTTGTGAAGGCGACGATAGAAAATGAGCCTTGCTAATTATGTGTTGTGATGGTGAAATGACCGGCTTCAGTTTGGAAAGCGCTGGCTGTAATTAACAGTGAAAGGCTTTATTCTCTGATCTGTGCAGCCATTTATGAATCACTTCTCCCCACGGAAACTTTTAAATCTGTCTCACTGGGGAGCCTGAGGAGGAACAGGTAAAATGGATTTGCTTTAATAGCTGTGGTTGTAACTTAAACACTTGAAATGATATTAAGCATCTTTCTCCATTAGCATTTCATGTTGATCCTGATGATATACCAGCCGAGGCTAAGACAGGATCAGCATTCATTAAATGGAAGAAACTAAACTCCGCAGACGAACACTCTGGCTAAATGGGGCCTTCAGTGCACTGAGAACAAGAATGCAATTAGCTGAAATGTTTGTTTACAAAATCTAATTCCTGGGGAGTATCTACTCAGATTGTTGCTTCCATTTCTTGGGTTGTGCTTGTTGCCAGGGCTTGCAGTCTTTGTAAAGCTCGGCTGCAGCACATACATAATGGATTGGCTAAATGTGGACAAAGCTGAAGAGCATCAGCTCTGTGAGCAGGTGCTTCAGTGATGTACCTCTCCCAGACACCTATAAGAGCCCTCGGGCCTGGGAAGCCCCTTCACAAGAGGCTTTGGCTTCATTCCTCGCTTCTATTTCTGTGGTGATGGACATTCTAGCATACCAATTGCCAATCTCTTGTACAACTTGTTATGGAGCTGCTGGTGTGCCAGAATTTATTTGTACATTCCCCCAGTGTATTTTGCAGTTATTTGTTGCAGTCAGTAGTCTAATAGCTATGAGATGTTCTAGTTATTAAATGGTAGACTGAAAAAAAGCTGGAAATTGTGTAGCACTGAGTATTGTTGTCAGTCTGCCCCCATCCCCCATGTGAACCCTAAACCAGGGAAATAACAGATAAACTCCAGCTGAGTCAGGATGTGTCTTTCTGAAGGTACTGGCATGAAGAGCTTTGCCACCTTCTCTCTTGTTGGCTGAGAATCTTGGGCAGCCTTGGAATGTAATTTAGCTCATCTGCTACAGTGAGTCAAAAATGCAACTTCTCCTCTGGTTACAGAAGGAATAAGAGAGTTGCTTTTATT